CAGAGATAGGGGCATGGAGAGGGGGAGCAGCTGAGGACTCTAGATTCATGGACTAAGAAGAGAAGGACTAAGAGCTGGTGGCCAGGAGCCGACTTGCAGAATGTGCCCTTTGGAGATGTAAATTATTATATATACCTGAGTGGTTTTTTTATGTTTTTGTGTTTTTCATATAAGAAATACTGTTAATTGATGGCACATGGAGGGGATTATAATCAATGTAACAAAACAAGGTATATGATTTGTTGAATGTAAAACTGATGATATGCCCTGTAAACTTTCACTCAATCCACAATAAAAATCTTAAAAAAAAAGAAAAAAAATTCCTTGAAGAACAACAAAAATAAAATAAATGTGATAAACAATAAGATGAAATAAGAAAAATAAGAGCAAGAAAAAGAGAACAGGAAAAAAGAGTGATAAAGCAAATGTAGTATAATGTTAACAATTGGGGAATTTGGTTAAAGAGGCTACAGAAATTATTTATACTATTCTTGCAACTATTCTGTAAAATTAAATATGGAATTATGTTTAAATTCATATATATCTTGGTAATTATGAGCAAAAGGCTTAAGTGACCTTTTTTAATGAAATTAGTAGGCAGTGAATATGTATCAATCTTAAATAAGGGCCTAAAACTTTGTATTTTATAAGAATGTTATGCTGTATATGTACAAGAAAAGTACCGCACTAGGTTCCAGACTAGTCTGTCTTTAGTAAAACATAGTGATTGTGAAGCAGATAGCAATATTGTTTTCATTTAAGTAGCTTCCTTTATTGTTTGAGGAAACCTTCTCTGAACAGTCTAAATTAGCCACCCTTTCCAAAGTCTTATCTATAACCATACCATATTTCATTTTCTGTGTCAAATTATTATCGGAAATTATTACATTTACTCACTTTTGTTTGCCTAGCTCCATCTCCATCCGCTGGAATGTAAATTCTGTGAGAACAGGACCTATTCTTAGGGCCTAGCATATAGTCGGCATTCAATAAATATTTGTTAACTGAATGGATGAATAAAGCAGCAGTAGCATACACAGGCATCTTGGAAAGTGTTTTCACAGCATTGCATAATGCTAGCCAGCCACCTATCATACTTATTCTATGAAACTTCTGATCTGGGTTTATCTGTTGTTGTTTTGCTATTCCATGTGACAGCATAGAACTGGCCCATAGTTTTTCTTGGCTGTAATCTTTATGGAAACAGATTACCAGGTCTTTCTTTCATGGTACTACTGTTAAGAGTTCAATCTGCCAACCTTTTGGTTAATAGCCGAGTGCTTAACTGTTGTATGATCAGGGCTCCTGTCTGTTACACGATGTTGTTAAGTGCCATTGTATTGGTTCCAAGTCATAGTGACCCTGTATATGGTTTCCAAGGAGCAGCTGGTTGGTTTGAATTGTTGATCTTGTGGTCAGTAGTCTAGTGCTTATCCTACAGTGCCTTCTAGTTCTCCAGAATTATTGCAAAAATAATTTCTTTCAAGTTTTCAGTTGACTTTAATTCAATTTCTTATTTTCCTTCTGTGTTTTGAATTTGTTAGTCAAAGTGAAAGGGAAGAATTTGAAAATGAGTTCAAGCAACAGTATGAACGAGAAAAAGTATTACTAACTGAAGAAAATAAAAAGCTGACAAGTGAACTTGATAAGGTGAGTAATTCAATCTTCTTTATATTAATTGAGCATAGATACAATAGAAATTGTGGGTATAATTATATATTTAGTGTGCATTTTTTGTTTAATAATACTCCTCACTAATTAAGATTACTTGTATGGAACTGGAAATTTTTTGTTATACCAATTTGTAATAGGTGTCTTCGGAGAGAGATTTTCCTTAGATTTTTCTTATTTCATCTTATTGTTTATCCTATTTATTTTTTAGGACCTCAATTATTTTTAACTCTTCTCTCATGCTCGTCACTTACTCTGTCATGGTTTGCTAAATTAAAAAAACTTTGATATTAGAATGACTGGCCCTTGACAAAATCAGGCAAATTTTTTTCTTACTTTTTATTGTAAATTGAGTGAAGGTTAGTAGACAAGATCATTAGCTTTGCATTTAAAAAAGTATGCACTTTTTTTCATCTCAATGATTACAGTCCCCTCTGTTACAACAGTTATCCTTCCTCCCCGTGTGTCCCTTTTACATCTTATATTTCACAAATGAACAAAGCAAAAATATTTGATGTATACAAACAAAACAAAAAAATATATATTCAGTAAAATGTCTAAAGGGCACATTCTGCAAGTCAGACTTCTGTCCGCAGGTACACAGCCTTACTCTTTCCATGAGCCTAGAGTCTGCAACTGCTCTGTCTCTCCATGCCATCACCTCTGCCACCATCTCTGCTGTTGCCACTTTTCTAGGTAGGATCTCATGCTCCACTCATGCTCTTCCTTCTTGATGATCCCAAGACCAGGCAAAATTTGGTGAAATTATTACAACTGTGATCCCATATTCACCATGAGGAACTAATGGCTATGAATAATACTACTTGTATTTGACCACTGGAAGTTGAGAATCCAAAAAAAAGACAACTCTGTCTAAACTCTGTGGCTGGAATAAAGGAAGAATCATAGATTGAATTTAGAATTAACCAGATTTGTAAGCAGATTTCAAGTACTGAGTGGAAGTTTTTTCTGTTTAGTTTCAGATTTTTTTAAACTGCCATTGTTATGCATTTCTTGTGCCAATCCTTAATATTCAGTTGTAAAAATCCTAAATGAACCAGAATACTTTGTTTTGTTTGTTTTAAACTTTTTATTGTGAATTGGGTGAAGGTTTACAAAGCAAATCAGTTTTCCATTCACCAATTCATACACATTTTATGCCCTGCCGTTGGTTGCAGTCCCTACATTGTAATATCACTTATCCAGTTTCCACACTGTGTTTCTTCTTCCATTCCTCCTTTCCTAACCTTTCTGAATTTTGTCCTTGGGTAAATGTTGCCCTTTTGATATCAAATGGTTGGTTATTCTAAGGAGTGTGTACCTCCCTAGTGTTATTTTCCCTTATAAACCTGACTGTTGGCTGAAAATTGAGCCACCTTTCAATTCCAGACCTGAGGAGTAACTAAGGGGGTTCCACTAATCTCTGTCTGACCAGTAAGCTTGGTCATTTTTATGATTTTGATGTTTTCTCCCTCTGTCCCAAAGACCTTTTAATGTGATTCCTTTCAGAGCAATTGGTAGTGGTGGCTGGGTACCATCTAGTTCTTCTGATCTCAGGATTGTGGAGGCTGGTATTCATAAGGTCCATTAGTCCTTTAGACTAATTGTTTCCATGCATCCTTGATTTATTTTCATTCTTCTTTGCTCCAGATGTTTCCATACATCTTCAGTTTTTACACTCTTCTTGATTGCACTTTAAATGGCCACTCATGAACTTTTAAGACCTCAATCACTATTTACCAAAGTAGGATGTAGAACATTTTCTCTGTGGATTATGTTATGTAAATTGACCTTGGTGTTCACTGAGACTATGGTCCTGATCCTTCAGGCCCAGCAATACATTCTCTCAAGGTATTTGTTAACCAGAAGTTTAATTATTCTATTCACAGTTAAATAAGAAAGGCTGGACAAATACATCTTGTAATGACTTTTAGGATTTTCTTCCAATATTAGTATTCTGTTTAATTATTAGTTATTCTATTAAAATTTCAATGACCTTGACTGAATAGTTATAAAATAGAGATCCTTTATCTATGACAAACTCAATTTTCCATTGTGTTCTATGTATCTCTCTACTTTACCTCACTATTATCCCTAAGAGTATTTTGTTTTCTGACAATTTCAGAAAGTACTTTTCTTGTCTGGTTGTAAACTACTTTAGAAAGCATGCTATTCATTTTGTAAAGTTTTATAAAACTAATATGCAGAAGAATTGTGGAAAGTAACAATAATAAGTATTATAAATATATTTTTTTAAATATGAATACTGTATGAACTTTTAAAAATGTTCTATAATAAAACTAGCAATATTTGAACTTTATTCATCTAGATCACATAATTATTTTGTATGTTTGACTAATAGCTATAAAATTAAATATCATTTCTCTTAACAAGACAGGATTTTAAAGAGTTTCACCTCAAGATAAAAATAACTAATTAAATTCTAGGCCTCTTCATGTAGCATTACTAAGAAAATAACCTAGACTTAGCTATAATTTAATAAAGATTATACTGGGAAATAATCAAATTGAATATAGATCAAATCTTATGTTCTACCTCTGGCTTAATATCATTACTAACACTAAGGTTCTGTTGAATTTTACCAAAAATATACATTGAGAGAGAATTTTTTAGAACGTTCACTTGATTAAAATTGTATTGAGATATAACACATCCCTGGTGTGACTCTGTAGGATTAGCACTGGAGCGTAAACCACAAGGTCAGCAGTTCAAATCTACCAGATGTTCCTCAGAAACCCTATACAGGGTCACTGTGAGTCAGTACTGACTCGATGGCACTCTTAATAATAACAACAATAACACATCCCTAATGAAGAGATCTTCTTAGGTCTACAATACATAATGAGGTATCTTGATGAGGCCTGAAGGGTAAATATAAATCATGACTCCTGTATTTATAAAATAAACCCACTGCTAAGAGGTGATTCCAATTCATAGCAATCCAATAAAGAGTTTCCCAGACCATACAGCTTTAAAGGAGCAGACAGCCTAATTTTTCTCCCCCAGAGCAGTTGGTGGGTTTGAACTACCGAACTTATGGTTAGCAGTCCAACTCCTAACTCATAGCACCACCAGGGCTCCTTATTTATAAAGTAGGACATTATATTTTGAAAGATAGAGTATGAGTAGAACTTTAAGAACAAATACATATGGTAGGTAAACATTAATGACAAATGATTGAGGAAATATGTATTCCTAGGGAAATAAGAGTTCCATTTGAACCACTATTCTATTTCTTCTAATTCTATACAACTTTTACTTCTCTGTTTTTGGTATATTTTGTTATTCAGTTTTTCTCTTTGTGCTTAACTCTTAGTCTACCTCATTGCATATTTTCACTGTCTCTTTGTGTTGTGATTTGAATTGGATATTTTCCTTAAAAGGAATACCAGAAGAATCCATTTGCCATTGCCACAAAACTTACCCTGGGAAAGTAGCTTGAGAAAAACTGGATTCCTTCTCAACAAAGCTGCAGATATAAAACAAAGGTTAAATGTTAGATTAATTTTCAAAGTTACAGTTTTTTACCTAATAGATATCTCACATACATATTTTTAAACCACAAGAGTAAAAATTAACATAGAAAGAAAGCATAATATTTTCAAAGCACTGTTCCTCATTGAAAGATAACTTATTGTAAGTAAAATTAGCCATATATGCTGAGGAGTAAAAATAAATGGCTTATATAAGATAACATATATGTGATTTGAATTATTTTTAGACTGTTTTTTATAAAAAGCCATATCAAAAAATTTCAAAAATATTAAATATGGAACTTGCCTATTAATTCACAATATAATTTTTTAATGCTCCTTTCTAGGCTTTGCCTGTATACATATTATTACATAACTAGAGTATGAATAATACAGTCTGTGCTTAGTGGGCTGCTATCCGCATCTACCAGCAAATCTGCCAGCCTTTCCAAGGAAGAATGATGAGGTTTTTTGTTCCCGTAAAGATTTACAGCTTCAGAAACCCTATACAAGGTCACTGTGACTCATAATCTACTCCACAGCACACAACCACCAACCATCACGGCCAAATAATCCATTTGTTGTTGTTGCTAAGTGCCTCTGAGTTGGTTCTAACTGATAGCAACCCTGAATACAGGGTTTCCAAGGAGCAGCTGGTGAATTTGAACCATCAACCTTGTGGTTCAAACCAACCTTTCAGTCCAATGCATTATCCAACAGCACCATCCCAGGACTCCGTAATCCATTTAGTAATCTGCTTTTTCATTTAAAATGTTATAAGCATATTTTTATTCCTTTGTAGCTGTATAATTATTATAAATCAGACATGTCAACGTGCAAATAGTAAAACTTTCTCATTCATAAACATTCAAAATTAATCTTAGGTAGAATTCATTATGTGGAAGTTCTCTTCTAAGTTACTTTATACTAATTTAATTCTCATAATAACTCTGTCAGTATTCTTCCTATTTTATAGATGAGATAACTGAGGTAAAGAAGGATTAAGCTAGTTTCCAAAATCACAGAATTAAATGGTACAATGAGATTGAAACACATGTAGAGTCTGGCTCTGGAGTCCATGTGTTTATTCAGTACTAAAGTAAAGGATAGCTCTTTAGTAGTAAACAAATCAAGCATTGTATTTAAAATTACTTCTAACTGTTACAAAATCTGCATTTTCCTCCTCTTCTTACAAATCTCTAGTTGAAACCCAGCCACAAATTAGTTGGAAGAATTGCCAAAAATGGTGGTAATCAAAAAAGGATGCATTGCAGGAGTTAGTGGAGCAGACACACTGTATCAGAAACTCAAAAATAGCTGATAGAGTTGGACTTCTCTCTGTGGTAGCATGAAGAGGTTGATGATCTTCTAAAAACCAAAAGAAGTTTTAAAATGGATACAATTTAAAATGGACACAATTTTAAAATGAAACTACTTCTGACAATTTTGTCAAAAGCAACTATTCTTTGGATCTGGAAATTAACA